CATCACAGGCCTTGGCGTATTAGTAGTTCCAGACGCTGAAGTCCATGGGATTCAGGTCCGAGGAGGAGGGGGCCCACTCCTCCTTGCCCAGGAAGGCCGGAACGTGCTTTTTCAGCCATTCCTCTTTGACCTTTGCGGTGTGGGCGGGGGGCCTCGTCCTGCCTGAAGGTCCAGGCCTTTTTGCTGAACGTCTTCTTGGCCAAGAGGACCACCACGTCATCCAGAACGGATTCGACGTAGAACTCCTTCACCTTGACTCCAGAAGGCACAAAGACGAGGCGTGTCTTGCCAGTGGTCCTGATTCCGCCCCAGACCATGACAGAGGCTGGATGTTGACGCTGGAAGGTTGTCTTCGCTTCGTGAGGACCTTGGAGATGTCCTTAGCAAGGACCTTGCCGTTGTGGCGGTTGTGGATGCTCTGGACAGTGAAGTTCTTCTCGTCCATGAAGTCCAAGTTCTTGAGCATGCCTTTTTTGAGGTTCCGGAGCATTTTTTGGCACAGGCTAGCCTCTTGACCTTGGTCGGCTTTGCCAGGACTTGCTGCTTCTGCTGGGAGTAGCGCTTCATCTCGAGGTCGTTCCTGACCATTCTCATCATTTTGGTCTCGCTCACGTTTCCCTCCTTGGTCGTTTGTCTCATGCTTCTCTGGGGGTTCCAGAGAATATTGGCTTTGACAAAAACTTATGGCTGCTGGAGTGCGCTGGGTCCTCGGACAACCGCTCCTAGGACGGCTGGCTACAGTATATGTCTCCTTGAATAGCTTCACGACTCTGCAGATGAATACCTTATTGATGTTGAGGTTCTTGAGGAACTTGAGAATCTCCGTGTCACTCTTTCTGGCCTTGTGGAGCTCCAGGATGTCGTCTCGTTTTGCATCTGTTGTGCAAACTCTATTAACTTGAAACTTTCAATCTACTATTTTTAACATCTCAACAGCATTAAGAAATTTAACAAAATTAATGGGAACCTTTCAAATTTAAAATACCCAACCTTTCATCACGCCATTACTGTTGTTACCGACCTTGAGACGCATCCGGAATACGCAGTTTACCGAATCACCTAACTAGGAATGAGAAATGGTGTGGAGGTGATTGCGGTCTCATATTGATTGTCATGGCCTGAAAGCCTACAAAAAATGTGTTGATTGATTTATTACTTTAAAAGTTAATTAATTTTTTCCCCGACGCTACTTCTTTAGTGCTCTTTTTTTGATCGGACTAAGTAGTTAATTGCATCTAAGCTACGTCCTTTATATCTAATAACTAATTGAATCTCTTTAACTGCTAATTGAACATTTTCGCTGAAGGAAAGAAATCCGAAGTGGACCACACCTCGAATGGTACATGTTATATATCAATCGCAAGCTCATAAAGAGTACATTGTGTTGGTGCATATTTGAGCTGCAAAAGATGAGAAAAAAGAAGTAATTTTTATGTGAAGAAGTATGGGTCGTAGAATAGGCAAGCATGAAGTGGCATGCACTCGCACATTCACATGTGTGAATGAGTGTGAAGAGTGCTCGTTTTCGTTGGAACAGGAGGCCTGTTTCGTGATAGGCAGAGTAACTGCATGTCCCGGGTTCGGTAGTGTAATTGTAGCACACCAATGTAGTGACCCAATGACAGGGTATCCTCCATTCGCCGGATGTTCGAGGATGTTCCAGGAATAGGGAAAATTATTGCTATTCGTCTTCCCTCCCTCACTCCTTTCTTACCGGCTCCGATCTGCCATTCAGGGAAAGGTAAATGGCATGAGGGGAAGAGAGGAGCACCTTCTGATCTATGGGACTTCAAGGATATGCGTCGAGCGAAATGGAAGGTCCGACCTTCCTCTATATTCCACCGTGACAGTCGATATTTTCGAAATCATCTACCCAGTCATCAAGCCGCTCAGCGTCTGAAAGTAATTGGTGATCATCTATCAGGCCATGGAGCGTTCAGCATGCTATAATGACTGAGGAAAGCCGAAAGAGGGAACCCTATTTAAACTCAGTTCAAAATCCTCGTGAAGAGGGGAGGCAAAGACAGTTTTCCTGACATCGCCACTGCCATAAGGTGTTGGGATAGGGACACATTTCTTAAATTGAGACATTGCTCCTTCTACTCGGTTGGAGCCGAGGGTCGAATTGCTGGTTGGAGCTGGGCTTGGGGGGGATCTGAAGTGATCCAAATTCTGTTCCATGCTGGTTGGAGCTGGGAGGGACACTTAGAACAAGCACAGGCGAACATTGGAAGAGGGCGTGCGGATGGTTGAAGACTGAGCAACTCCTTTCGATTTCTTTGCGTAGCTGTGATCGCCCCCAATCACGAGGTAACTGCGAATGGTGCTGCATCGAGGTTGAGGAGAGAGTTGTTCTTTTTCTTAGAATTTCCCCGTTCATGCTATGAGATTGCATTCGTAAAATTGTGCTGCGAGACTTTGTACCTAATTTCCTTATTACCTGAATCCTATGGGAATTCTTGTATGCGTGATATATGTTGAAGTGTAGGTAAGAATAAATGGAATCTGTGTGCGACCTGGTCTGCAAAAGAACCCTTACCCAAGTAAAATTGGTTCCGTATTGACCACGACGAACCTTTCCAGGGGAGGAGATCCCACTTCTTTGTGACGTTAAAGCAGTTTACTAGTAACCTCTCTAGTCCGTCATCTTACATTTAGCACCACCGGCCGCACCATATGAGATTTCGTCCCACCAGAGCGGCAATAGGGATGCCCGGGTTCAAGTCCCGCCCGTCCCCCGGCTTCGATTATCATGCCATATGCTCTGTATTCCTCCAAAGAGAAACTAAATCACCTGAATCCTCGACCGTAAAACTTTTTCACTCAGTGCTTTCGAGTTTTTGCTATATACCCTAACTAACTAACCTCAGAGAAAACATGATGAAGCCAGATCGCGCAAGCCGCATTCCTTCTATGTTTTCCAGAACGTGCGATAATGTCCGTGTAATTTGGGGGATGATGGATCAGATGGATGAGATAATAATCGTGGCCGAAGGCCGCAACCTTTTTCTATTCCAGCTGAGCCACCATTTCCCAAAACAGATTGACATTCTCGCTCTTTGACAGAATTAGGAGAAAAGAAATTGAGGTCGGCTAACCGTGCCAGCGCGAAGATGGGACTCGCTAGAACAAGGAAGACTAGACCAGAAGGGCGGAAGAAAACCTGACTCGAGTACAATGCGCATGCCTTGGAAGGTCATGACACAGCTAGCAGGCGGGATGCAAAACATCCCTGCTCTCGAATGTCCACTGAAACGTAACTATTATACAAGGTGGGCAATAAATACCTGACGCATGTCAAAGTAATGTGAAAGGAGCATCATGACTGCAAATGAAAATTATTCTTATAGCATATTAAACTACAGTGTGACACAAAAGTCACTTGACAAATGATGAAGAACAACTTTGCCTAAAATCTTAGTTTTGCTTGGCAAGTGCCGACTTGAATACGCTTAACGGAAACCCATACCAACCATGCTGTCACCAGAACAACGAGTTCATTCTTTCCGCACTTTGCTCTTATGGTCCGTCAGAAACTGAATAGCATGTTTGGTGATCAGTGGATTGGACGGGGTGTCACCATGACAAGCACAACTCATTCTCGTGTCAGCATGGTTGGTATGTGTTTCTGTTAAGCGTAATCAAGTCAGCATTTGCTAAGCAAAAACAAAGATTTTAGGCAAACTTGTTTTTTTCTCATTCGTCATGTGACTTTTATGTCACACTGCACAATCTCGGGAAGTTTATTCATAATATGGTCTGGTCTGGTATTTGCCCCGTGTATGTCTTGAAAGCAGGGCACGTAAATGTCCACCATTTTCCTGAATGCAGTGACGCGTATGGATCAGTGTGTTTCGCATCACCTTTCTTTAAGCGTCGATTGGAAATACTGACAATCGCCAGTTCGATGTTTCTACGTAAATCTTGAAGGGTCCTTGGCCTGTTGATCAGGACTTTTGACTTCAAGAACCCTCACAGGAAGAAGTTAGGGGCAGTTACATCCGGCTTCTGACAGAACATGAATGATTCCAAACCGTGGAATGAAATGGTTTGAAACAACTGCTTCAGTCATGCCATCGATGCAAAGGCAGCGTGGGCCGTTGCGAAATCCTGCTGGAACCAGGTTTGGTCATCAAGCCCCATTTCTGTGAGTTTTGGATCAATGAAGTTGTTTATCATTGCCTAGTATCGCTCAGGAGTCACTGACAGTCGTACTCATCCCATCAGAAAAATATAGCCTATCAGTGAACATTGAACATTGAACTGGCAATAGCCAATATTCCAATCGACGCTTGGCGGAAGGTGATGCGAAGCACAGTGATCCATGCGCGCCGGTGCATACAGGAAAATTATTTACATTTGCGTTTTCAAGCCATTAAAGTGGCAAAGACCAGACATGGATATTATGCGTAAACCTCCTGAGATTGTAGTTTAATATGCTATACGAATATTTTTTACTTCCAGTCATGGTGCCCTTTTAACCGCCGGCGCGTTGCTGTGGTCGACATTTTCGAATTGGACTCGATTGACCCAGTACGAATCGTGATCCATCCCGACCCCATTCTGCTGGTCGTGTAGGGCCTTTCGGGGTAACCGACCCCTTGCTTAGGACTCTAGGCCTAAAAAATCCGGATCTTTGGGTTTCCTCTTTTCCTATGCGGCTTTACTGACGCTTCCAGATATCCTATGACGTCCCATTCGTGCTGACCTGTTCAGTACTCTCAGAGGTCACAACGGTCCCCCAGCAGCTGTAAGCAGCTAGAGGAAAAGACCCTCTGAAAGTGTATTCGCCTTCACCAAAGAAATAACTTGATTATGGACCGAGCTGCAGCCCGATCCGCGAGTCGAGTCGATTCAGAGTTAATTCGCATTCCGTGAATGATCCAAAATCATCCATTATCCAATTCCCTGGTGTTCGACATTTCAACTGCGTGTCTCACTTGAACGCAGCAAGGCGGAACTCGCTGAGAAATGGAATTGATGAAGTTGTGGGTTCCCTGATGACGTAAGGCATCTCCTAATATTGATTCAAAGCGTGGCACTTTGAAATTCGAACTTTCTCCCTTAATTACTTGTATTTACTCATACTGAAAATTAAAAGTTTACCATGAGTTATACCTGTGGAAACATTATTTTGCAGGAAGCGGATCCCGCGGGACGCGGGTGTGGTCTAGTTCTTCTATATTACTTCCAATCTCACAATCTTAACTCCGCTTCTCTTTGACCTTTGGTCAATTTAGATTTAAAAAAAAAAACAGAAGGAAACTCTCTTTCTGGAGGTTTGTAAATGGGGACTATCTTGCTGGTACAAGAAAAATAAAGATAAACATTTAGGGGGCATAACTGTTGAAGATCTCATTGAAATGATAAGAAATAATGGAATCTAAACAAATCATCAGACAGAAACAATTCAATGAGGGTACTTTCTTGAAAACAGGAATAATGCTTAAAATAATATTATCCCATAGAGCGAGAAGGCGTTCTTTGCAGCTGAATGTTCATATGCTATCCTTCACTGTTACGCATCTCACGTCGGAAGAACTTTAATTGGTATCAGCAAAATCTGATTACTGAATTCGGCATCATCTTATTGCGTAGGTGATATGGGAACTCTTTTGTTGATGCTGTTCCCATCCAAATCAAATGGCTTACTTGGAATCTGATGCATGTCTTCCATCTTCCCGGATTATATTAGCCTAACACTTTCCGAGAAACCTTTTGTCTGTTCTCAGATGAAATAGTCTATCCCAAATGCCGACTGACGGAGATGGGGAAAGAATACGTGGGCACCATGAACGTGACAGAGAGTGGAAGTCCCTGCCTGAGATGGGATTCCCCTGCAGTGACATCTTCGTTCCTCGATGTCGGTAAAGGATTCGATAAATATATGTTCTACTATGAGCATTTTCTGAGCCAGGACCCGTCCTTGCATGAGAATTTCTGCCGGAACCCGACGTCGAACACGGGACCCTGGTGTTTCATCCGAACGTCAGACGGAATAACATGGGAGAAGTGCTCGATTCCATTATGTGATGACCTAGGTGAGTGAAAATAATCTAACGGGCAGGATGTCTTTCATTTCGTAAAGGAATGAGCTCTAGCTCGGTTCATAATATCATATTAAAAATAGCATGCCATTCAACGTTTCGCCATGAGCTCGACTTTCACCAATTGGTTCTGATCTGGAAAAAGTATTGTCAGGAGAAAGCATTTGTCGTGACTTGGGAATGGGAAGTACAATTTATTGTCTGCCATTTATATTTATTGTGAATATGGGTGAGGTCTTTTGAGGTAACGGTAAAAAAGAGTTCTTTTTCTTACCAATCGAGAAAAATGCTGATGGTAGGTATTTAGATTTCTTTTTCCCACGTAGTAATTGTGCAATCAGTTACAAAACTTGCACAAAACGACCATTTACAAAGCCTAGGCCATGACATTCAATCCAAACAGCGTATAATATCATATCAACCAGGAACCATAAAGGAACGTCATTTTATTACAATTTTATCTTCCCATCATCATATGTAGGGTGGTTGAAATGGCGGCCGAGAGCTGGTAATTACCGGACATGAGGTGGAATGATCCACCTAGAAGCACCTTTAATTTACCTATAAATGAGCATTCCTCGACTTAGGCAGGAGTGCTGAAAAAAACTGACAAGCATTTCAAAACATTGTAATAGTAAAAAATTTCTATCGTATCCCATGTCATGTATTTTTCTGCTTACATGAATCGATGTTTCTCCCATAGGAAACGTCTGGAATAATTATTTTAAGCCATTCTAGTTCTTCATGTTCCTATTGTGATTTCAGATTGTATTGTTATATTTGTTAGCACATATTAGAAACTAGCGAGTTTGTGCCCCGATGGGTTTTAACGAATTTTTTTTTTCCTTTTGAAATGAAGACTCACGGTACTCCATGCAACCCAGTTTCAGCCATATACGTTTCCCATTTTCGCTGGCGGAGAAAAATGTAATTGGAAAAGCGACCCACCCAAAAGCTATGCTCTGATGAGACGAAAAAAAAATTGAATTTTTCCTTAAATCAACATCACGTACGTTATGCGTGCGCCAGCTGCTGCTACTTTCCTATTTCTGCCCGATTCGCTAGGATATGAAAAATTCTTTTAAAACGTTACGTCCCCAAGAAATATGCCCCCCAAAAATATGTTTGAAATGTGACATTTGACATTTGAGATCAGTGCGTCAACGGTCACGTTCTTGACAAGTTTCAGCTTTTATTGTGTCTCCGTTTGAAGCAAAGAGAACTATTTAAATATATGTTCCCCGAAAGGTCTGCCCCTATTTCATGTATCACCAAAGTAGAACTTTTCCTGAACTCAGCATCCCAAAAGGTACACGTGTACCAAGTTTCAGATTTATAACCCTTCTAGAACATGGTTAGAATTAGCGTCAGTCAGTCAGTCAGTCACGATCGTCTATTGCTAATTGATCTTCCTGATGTGGAACTTATTCCGGGCGTTGAGATATCACATTTCTTGAAGTATGGCATCGGCTTCTACTTTCAGGAGCACCAGAATGCAAGCTGACACAGAAGGGAGCAGAATACATAGGTGCAAGGAACAGGGCACTTTCAGGTTCTCCATGCATGTCGTGGTCATCAACAAGCGGGGCGAATGCATTGTATGCATTCTGGAAACAGACATTCCCTGATTCCATCACTGCTAGCCACAACTACTGTCGGAATCCGAATGGGAAAATGGGTGGTCCCTGGTGCATAGTTTCGGATGCCGAAAGTTCAGAGGAGGCATGGGGATACTGCGATGTGCAGTTCTGTGAAATGGAGCAAAAGGAAATGACATGTGAGATAGAAGGCTGTTGCCAGCCGAGCGAGCCGTAGGCCTATATGAATCGATGTTATCCCCATTACTATTTTTTTTAATGTGCTAGATAACTACAAACGTTTCTAATGCCAGTTGTACAAAATACAACACAAGGCATAACATGCAATGTTCTGGTGATCCTTGGCGTATATACCCTGTATTTCATTTGGCTTCAGTGAATGAAGTCATTTCTACTTTAGTTTCGTCTACAGTGAACGATCTGTCCGTTAAAATATTCATGCAGATGGAGTTGAGGTTTCCCGCACATATCCGGAGTGCAGGATGACCACAATGGGGAAGGAATACAGAGGAACCCAAAGCGTAACAGAATCTGGAACGACTTGTGCACTTTGGAGTGTCGAATTCTTCAGTTCTTTTTTGGAGTCCAAAAATAATTTTTTCTTCTCCTATGTCCCTGAACAAGAACGCGGGCAGATATCCTCTGGAACCATAGAGAAAATGAAAAACTTCCTCAAAAGCCAGGATCAGAACTATTGTCGGAATCCTTTCTTCGCTGAACGGCCATGGTGCTTCGTTTTCAAGGATGTGTATTGGGAATATTGCGACATTCCAATGTGCCATCATCCCAAAGGTTTCCGAATTAGTGTCCTTAATATGTATTATGCGAATGCGTCTTTTGGGACTTTAAAATAATATTTGATGTTTTAATTTAATATCTGTTATTTTTATAATGACACATTCATCTTGGAACACATTAATATGTTCATCGTTTTATGCGAGATTGTTGTTCTATCAGTTGAGGATTAGATTGAAACCCACATTTTCACAAGTTTCCTACTTGTCTTTCAAGAAGTTATGGGGAAATTTTCATTTTTAACGACTTTCCTTTTTCTTCAATCCCTTCTCCTCTCCAAAGGCAAAATATTAATTTTAGATTAAATGCTAAAAAGCGTACTCTCAAAAGATCAGGCCAAAACTTACTTTTTTCGTTCAAAATTATCTCAACTACCGTGTCAAGCCGGTCTATAAGGATCAATCCTGAAGTCTTCGAGTCATCTTGGTGAGGACTTGTTTGACTTGCATTACGCAGATTAAAGGCCTGTTTCAAGTTCCATGAATCGCTTGCGTGTGAATGTGTACCTATTTGGCGTTTCTGGAGTTCCTCGAGCCATCTCGAATAGGTTTGAGAAGATAATGTCTCCGACTGTTTATTCAGTGTTATGGGTCCATTGGTTATCAATAATCTATCTCAAGGATTGGTCTCTGCTAACGACCGTCTTAATCTAATATGATCTTATGAACTCACTATACATATTTTGTTACAACAAAAAAAGATACAGATATTAGTACGGAGACGGAAATATTCTTGAAAGTGACATAAAACGAGAATTAGTGTTATACACATATCCCGGGAATCTAAACTTCAAATTTGCTGTAGCGAATCTGTGTTGAGAAGGGGATAAGTATGCTAAATCCCGTTCCTCTATATGCTCTCAAAGAGCAATACATGGAGTTGAATTTTGTGAAAGGAAGAAGTTGAAGGAAGGGAGCAGACCCGTAAAATACCTCATTGCATTGTGTGCTCATGTTAAATTATGAATATCTCTCAGAAACTCTGAAACTTATTAACACGTTGTTGTTTACCTTTAGAGTCCGTGGAGTGCAAATTGGCAAAAATTGGAGACGAATATGTTGGGAAGATGAACGTTGTGGCAAATGTTGAGATCGGGCCAATGAAGTGTCAACCCTGGTTGAGTCGGGCAAGCAGCGAAGAAGTCTCAATGCTGAGCCTGGTGACATTCCCTGACCCAGGCGTGGACGGTGGTCACAACTACTGTCGCAATCCGAACCGGGATCCTGACGGGCCATGGTGCTACACTGGAGAAGCAACTGGCAAAGGATTGCAATATTGCCAAGTCCCTCTTTGTTTTGAAGCATATGAGCGTTCTGCTGTCGACGGTAGGATGTGGTGTGACTTAATATTAATTCTTTTCCAGCGTGATCGCAATCGCGAAAAAAACAGGCATATATGCTAATACATTGCTTGATGCAGAAGTAACATGTTTTTATGAATGGGAAATGAATGCCTTGCAACCTCCAACCCCGTGAAAACCTATTCACTTGTAAAATTGAACCTCTATATGCAACCGAAATGTTGTCCTCATGTGATTGGTAGAATAAAGTGTATGAAATATTACAGGTGACCCGGCGGTAGGATACCCAGAATGTCTGCAAACGGAAATGGGGAAGGAATATGTGGGGACGGTGAGGAAGACAGACACCGGGAAGTCCTGTCTCAACTGGAGTTCCATGAATTCGTCTCTTGAAATCTTCAGAGACTTCCTCGGCTTTGATCAGAAGATTACTTATGACGGTCATTTTCGATTTGGGAAGGCTGCATTACATCAGGACTTCTGCAGGAACCCGACGTTGATGAAGCGACCATGGTGTTTCGTCACTCATTTGGGAGACTGGGAGCATTGCGAAATCTCCTACTGCCCCACCAACCCAAGTGAGATTAATCCGGCCAAAGGTCAGAATCAGTAGGGTACTAAATAGGTCGCCACACAGTTAAATTCATGTGATACATAACAGGTATACCATTACGCTTAAAAAACTGATTATGGAGAGAAAATAAGTTAACTTAAACTGTGTGTGGATGTGATAGATCTGACTACGGGGAAGATTTGAAAACATGGAATGATATTTATTAGATAAAGCACAGTTAAACAGGTACCAATCCCAGAAGCCCGAAAATGATATGCCTTAGGAATCACATGGTGCCAAGGAAAACCAATTCTTACGGTGCTGCTTTCCTAATGATCGAGAACTTGATCTTCTCCCTCTAACTCAGATGATATTTACTGTTTTCTACAGCATACTTGAAAAAGTCCAAAACATGCTTGAACCGCCACACCATTCCATAATTTGCTTGTTTTTATTCGTATCTTGGCTGCATTCCAGCTCCAATAATTGTTTGGAGATTGCTCATCCGACAAGGATTTCTATGAGGAAATGCACAGCGACGTATCATTGAGTGTAGACTTTCAGAATTTCTGAGCTTGAAAGCAATCGGCTATGTAGAAAAATGGAGTGTGATCCGTTTTTTTGCGGAAAAAATATTCCTAGTAGTAGAAATGTATCGGGAAATCTTACAGTTTAAAAGCAGAAAGCGATGGCATCTCAAAGAGTGGCGTATTGGTGTTGATACGAGGGTGATTCAATTGAAAGCAATAATTTCGTTATAACACCCGTGCAATGCATATGCCGTGGTTGTCTTTTTGGTGGCGGTGAGATACAATCCCTTGTAATGCATGCACACAGAGGAACCGCAACATGCATGCGCGTCAGATGACGTTTCCAAAATGGCGGTACGTGTCGAGTCATGCACCAAGTTGGAGATGCGAGGTATGATCCGATTTTTTGGGGTGGAAGATCTAAAACCAGCGGAAATTCACCTCCAAATTCCAGTAGTTTATTGTGAGATCTGCTTGTCCCAAGATCGAGTTTACATGTGGGTGTAAAAGTTCAAAGACGAACAACGGGATCGCCACAATTCTCCCCGGCCAAGCCAGACACATTGTTTCTTCACTCCTGCCAGCATTGCATAAGCATCTTTTGTCCTGCCTTCTGAGATCCTTTGGTCGCCTTTGAACTTCTGCACCCACTTGTAGACTCGATCTTTCGACAAGCGCATCTCACAATAAACCACTTGCATTCTGCAGTGAATTTCTTGAACTTAGTGCATGACTCGACACGTACCGCCATTTTAGAAACGTCACGTGACGCGAATCCTCGTGCGCATGCGTTACAATGAATCGTATCTCACCGCTATCAAAAAGACATCCGCTACATCTGCATTACATGACGAAATTATTGATTTCAATTGAATCACCCTCGTAGTTTGGTAACAGTCGCAAGAACGGGAATAATGAAGATGGCAGCGGCCGACCAGAACTGTTGTGGATAACGTCATTCTGGATAATGTGGTCCGTAAAGCCGGCACGTGGTGAGATTAAAGGCAATGTTGTGCACTGTCAAGCGCGAAGCACGACAAAATAATGAAGGCCTAGACCTAGAATGTACCAGTATCTCGAATGAACAGGAAGAAAGAAACGACAAAACTCAATTCGCCTAAACGTCGAATAATGATCCATTTTATGGAATTCTCTTGTCTTCATATGGGACCAAAATGAGCAATTCAAAACTCCAGATTATGTGCAATACCTCAGAGAAGTCCAGATTATCTGTTTTATAGTCGTTAAGTATTGCTGAATCCTGCAGTGGTGCTGAAACACGTATTGCTAGGCCCATGATCGGGGCCCATGTCCTCTTTTCCAAGTTTATCTGTTCCTGGAAGAATTCCAGGGACAACGAATTAGAATGATTCGAAGGCAAGAATAATGTAAACATGCGAATTTTCCTTCTTTCAGCGAATTTTTTCGTTCAACAATCGTTTTTCGAAGCTTCCTGGCCGTTTAACATGCATGATGGGAAATTGGAATGCGACGACGGGCTCGAATGCTCTTGCCGTCGATGTTGAAATTTAGGAAGTTGTTGCAATATACTGGCCATATTCAGGAACTTCCGGGAGAAGAGCATTGTGGGCCCCAAGGACTTTCTGGATGGGGAAAGCCAAGGCAAATATGCGCAAGAAAAGAGGAATATGTTTATTGTTTTCTTGTTTCGTTGTCACTACAACTTTCCTCTAGATGATTTCTTTCATCTAGATTCTAGATGAGAATCCTCTTGGATTCTCCTCCAAACTGATAGCAATCGGAATTTCTGCATTCCATGAACGTTGACTGACATTCAAATGGGAGAAATTGCCAGGGGAGCAGTCTTTGTCTTGGAAAGCATGTTTTATGTTTTCGATTATTTTCTACCCTCTGTTGCATTCAAGGTTTACTCTCTCTAGACGTTTCAGGTCAATCGCGTCATTTGGGTGATTTTGGTTTGGGTCATTCACTACAGAAGACGTATAGTAAGGTTACTGTATGGTACAGGACGAACAGTTACAGTGATGTAACGTACACTAGTAGGATTTCCACAACCAAACATATATTAAAATGGCCAGAAATATGCTTCTTTCTGAAAACTTATTATTATCGCTTCCATTTCCAGACAGGACGGAATGCAGATGGACAAAGGAGGGAGAGGAATACGCAGGAACTCGCAATATGACGTTTTCCAAGAGACCATGCCTTTCTTGGAACGTCTCCAAATTATATGAGCATTATTGGCCGAGATTCCCAGAGGACGTGAGGAAAATCGATCACAACATCTGTCGCAATCCAAATGGAACAACGGTGCCCTTTTGTTTCGTTGCTCCTGACGAGATTGAAGCATGCGATATCCCATTTTGCCCTTTCAATTACCTCCACTGAATGAAAATCGTCGGTGAAGACACGAGTGAAGAAATGAATGAATTATTCTGAACCATTAATAACAATACATGTCCAATTTTAAATTATGCATTCCTATATCTGGAAAAAAAAGCACCACATCCTTTGTCCGAACTGATACATTTTTTCAGCTTCTCGCCTTATTGTCAATTCTGCTTAATCCTTACTTTCATTACTATGTGTCGGGATTTCTTGCAGGTTTTTATTTCATGTTATTGTTCTAGAGTCAGAACTCACCATATCTATATTGGGAAATGAGGTGAAGTAAAAGGAAAAAAATAGGGATCAAAAGTTGTTCCATCCTTGCTAGAATTCCATCAGGTTCGTGTTTAGCCATCTGTTGTTCCATTCAAAAATGGGCGGCAAAGATTGTGTATGTGAAGACTTGTCTGTGATAGGCAGCACTTTGGCTGAATTTAATTGCTGTGTGGGCATGCTCATGATGTGGTCCTTGTATAAACCTCAATAATTAAACTGTCTTGGGGGTACGTGTGGCATCTCCGTTATTTCAACGTTCAAATGAAAAATGTCAGAAATATATGGCACATATGAGTTTTCTTCCGACTTACCGTACAAAATTTTCAAAGATCCTTCCAAAAAAGGCTCCAAAAAGAGCATCAACCTAAGAGTAGATTTTCCACGACGTAAGCACCTTGATAACGAGTTGTCCATTTAATTAAGCTTCATCGCATACTCGACAATTTCGCTTGAATTAAGAAGTTTCAGGAGAATAATTCCTCCATAAAAACGGACCACGGGAGGATGTCTCTCCAACTCACAATCCTACAACTACCTGCGATCAAGAGTTTAGCCTTTCAAAGAATCTATAACAGAGGTATAACTATCGTTATTCTGTCCGATAGTCACTCATTTACGCACTCGCAACCTTTAACATACTGGAAAATTTTGAAGAAAAGTGATTTAGATATTTCTGTAATAATATATATATACTGCAAAAATGGCTCACAAGAGCGCCACACCAATAAACTGCCCAACATGCTCAAAGTAGTGAAGCAGAGCGCGAGAAGCTCGACCACAGCTGACAACACAAATAAATGTAGGCGAAAAGTGATGAGATCCCAAAGCTAGCTAATGAAGACAACCGACTCCAAAAAGTAAGATAATGGAATTTTAAAAGAGAAGAAAGGAAAGGAGCCTTTGGGATCTGAAAAAACAGCAGGATCCTCATCAGGGGGCACGGTCCTGCTCAAACCTTCAGTGTTTCTACACTTTCTTCTTCTTTCACTTCTAGACCTTTTTCGGTATTCCCACTAGAGCCAAAATAAGCTAGAAGAAAATGTGAGCATAACTGCAAGGCTGTTGATTGAAAGAAACCACAGTTAAGTCATTCTCAAAATCGCCACAAATGCACACCCTATTAACTAGAGAAAGCTTACGCTCGTGCTGCAAGAAGGCAACCAGTGCAATGTGTCCTGTGAAAAAGGAATTAACGGTGCTCAGGAGAGCAGACAACCTCTAGCCGACAGCTATGAAGAAATTAAGCTCCAGTGGGATCCGTGCCCGAAAGATCTATCCACTATCCATGGCTTGATTCGAAAAGACTGGAGAAAAGGAAAATTCCACAAAAACAGGGAGAATTCACTGGGTAAATTGAATCATGCGTTGCAATCCGACCCTTTGTACTACCTTTGTAGTAGATCCCATGAGAATAATGAGGGAATACGTTCCCATGGTTACAATGGTCCCAGTCCCACCCAGACCGATCTAGGCATGGGGGAAGGAACCCCGCTCCCGAACCGAAACCTGACAGAGATTGTCTAAGCTATGGGGTGTTAGCCTGCAAAGAAGGGGCGAGGCTGAAGGAAGCTAAAAGTGGAAGGACAGAGAAGAAAAATATCCCATAAAATGTCATGCAGCCTGCGTCGGCAGGGGGTTGAGGCTGCAAGCCTAGCACGACACCCCATCCAGACCGTTTCTACCGTTAGGCGCTGAAACTATGAACTTAAAAGAGTGGAAGGTAGTACTCAGATTTCTGGGTACCCAGAGGTCTAGATAGAACAATACAATAAAATATTTATAGGGGGCGCATAATAAAAGATTTAAAGTTAGGCACATATACAAGGTCTGTCCCAAAAGTATTCGAACTTCAGCTACAAATCAATTTCCCATGTGATATTTATA